ACGGGAGGGAGGAAAAGTCCATTAATTCGCAGGGAGAGTGGCGAAGACGGTCCAAACGAAGTTCGACGCGTCGACGCTGCACGACACGCCGAAGCTGGCGGCGGAGACGCAGATGGTGGACGACGGGAGCGGGCAGAAGGAGGTTTGGAGGGTGGAGAACTTTAACCTGGCGCCGGTGGAGCCGCAGATGCACGGCAGGTTCTACGGGGGGGATTGCTACGTGGTGCTCTATGCGTACACGACGGGGGCTGCAGATCACTTCATCGTCTACTATTGGATCGTAAGTGGGGGACGGGGGGACGGGGGGACGGGGGGAGGTGGTCGGATGGGTGGATTGAGTTGGTTTTTTCGATCAGGGAGCGAAGTCGAGCCAGGACGAGCAGGGGACGGCGGCGTTGAAGGCGGTGGAGGTGGACGACAAGTTGGGGGGGAAGGCGGTTCAGGTGAGGGTGGTTCAGGGGAAGGAGCCACCGCATTTCATGGCCATCTTCGGGGGGAAGATGATCGTTTATGCCGGGGGGAAGGCGAGCGCCTTCGACGGACCGGACGCCGTGGATCGGGAGGTCTCGGAGAAGTACCTGCTGCAGGTCAGGGGGACCTCGCAGTACAGCACCAAAGCCGTGGAGGTGTGGAGGGTTTTTGCACGGGGGGGGGGGTGATTTGGAGGATGGGGTTTTGATGGTGTGGATGTCGTAGGTGGATTGCAGAGGGGCGTCGCTCAACTCCAACGACGTGTTTCTCTTGAAGACGCCGCATTCGCTTTTCATCTGGGCGGGGAAGGGGTCGACGGGGGACGAGAGGGAGATGGCCAAGAAGATCGCCGCGACCACGATCCCCCTGGAGCCGACGCTCGTCTACGAGGGTATGGGACGATTCGCGTGAGCTTCCGTTCGGTCGAGAAGGTGAATCGTGACCTTTATGTGGATGGAATCAGGGCAAGAGAAGGCTGATTTCTGGAATGCGATCGGCGGCAAGGAGGAGTATGCGAGCGAGAAACGCCTCTCCGATAGGGACGACCCTCACCCGGCCCGACTCTTCCAGTGCTCAAATGCTACCGGCTCGTTCAAAGGTCCAGACTCCGTCATTCGCGACGTCGTCGAGACTCTACGGAACGATGACCTCGAACTTTCTCTCGTGCAGTGGAGGAGATAGTGGACTTCGACCAGAGCGACCTGATACCAGACGACGTGATGCTCCTGGACGCCTGGGACACCGTCTTCCTCTGGATCGGGACGGATTCCAACCGGATCGAGAGGAGCCTGGCGGAGAGAGCGGCGCAGGAGTACCTGGCCGCCGATCCGGCCCAGCGGGACCAGGACACACCCGTCGTACGGGTGAAGCAGGGCTTCGAACCACCCAACTTCACCGGGTTCTTTGGCATCTGGGACCGATCGCTCTGGAGCGTGAGTTTCCCCGACTCGTGGTACGGGGCAAAATTTGTTTAAATTCGGCATTCCCGCTAATATGCGAATTCCATGCGGTTGCAGAACTCCAAGACGTACGAGCAGCTGAAGAAGGAGCTGCAGGAGGAGAACCCGGGCTTGGAGATCATCACCAAGGAGAACGGGTTGTCCGAAGAGACGACCAAATATTCCCTCGACGTCCTATTGGAGAAAGATCCCGACAAGCTCCCTCTGGGCATCGACCCCACCAAGAAAGAAGTGAGTCTTCCACGACGGGAAAGTAAATAGGGCACATCGAGAAGTCGTAAAAATCTCTCTGGTACTTACTTTGTACTGACAGGATTATTTGAGGGAGGAGGACTTCAAGAGAGCATTCGGAATGGGGATGGAAGACTTCGAAACCCTACCAAATTGGAAGCGACAGCAGCTCAAGAAGAGTGCAGGACTGTTCTAAACGTTCAGCATCTCCCATAAACTGTTGTGATGAGGCTATCATTCTTCATCATCTATTCCAGAGTCATATATTTCCTGAGTACTGTTGTGGAATGATTATGATATAGAGTTTTGCCCATTATCTTTTTCTCCCCCCCCCCCCCCATCCAAAGTGCGTGTTTCAGCAGATACTGTTTTAGAGTTTTGCCCATTATCTTTTTCCCCCCCCCCCCCCCCCATCCAAAGTGCGTGTTTCAGCAGATACTGTTGGATTCATTGCATTGCTCAGCAGGCTGATTATTGCCACCAAATATGCTTAGCAGGCTGGTATTTGTCATGTTTCCCCAAGTATGTATTGCATCTGGTGCATAGTTACATGAGACTAGCTTTCAAAAAGGCATATATTCTTTGATTCAAATTCTACCCGATGAAAGAAAATCTCATAACAAGAACAAAGTCCCAAGACAGTGCCATAATGAATTTATTTTTCTCAGTTCTGGACTATTGGTACCAGTCTCCAGATTAAAAAACCATTTTGACATCCCTGCACAAGTTTCTCTCTCATTCCAGTCATACAGAATTAGAATACTATCACAAGTCTCATTCACTCCTAGGCACACAATAGAAGCAAAAAGGCACATACCTGGAATGTCAAACACTAGAAAAATTCATTCTTTCTTGACTAGGTATAAAACTTTTTTGACATTCTTCTAAATAAAAATCCAAAGCTATTCTTGAGGATGTGGGATAGAGATTTGTACAACATACAAAGCACCGAGAATACCGGCAAAAACAAAAGCCAAAGGTAATGGGTACACCAAAGGTATTTCTTAAATCTGAACTAAAAAAAATCTTTTGTACTCAAGAAATCACTCGCATGAAATTATGCCCATTTGGTTGAGATCCTTGACAAAGGCCACAACCGGCAGAGGTAAAAAAAAAAAAAAAAGAAGGGGGGGGGGGGGGG